ATGTTTAGTTCTTCAGTTGTATGTATACTACAGAGAATTACTTTCTTTCAGAAACATAGCTGCTAACAATTATTTTACCATTTTGTAGGCTTCCACTCCACATGAATGATGGTGGCCTTTGCTGTACAGAAGCCTTTTTTATTGATTTTATTGAGCTATATATTTTTCTCTGTTCCCATCCCCTTCAACCCTCTCCCATGATCCCCATGCTCCAAATTTACTCAGGAGATCTTGTCTTTTACTGCTTCCCATGTAGATTGGTCCATCTATGTCTCTCTTTGGGTCCTCATTGTTGTCTAGGTTCTCTGTGATTTTGATTTGTAGGCTGGTTTTCTTTCTTTATGTTTAAAAACCAATTATGAGTGAGTACATGTGATATTTGTCTTTCTGGATCTGGGTTACCTCACTCAAAATGATGTTTTCTAGCTCCATCCATTTGCCTGCAAAATTCAAGATCTTGTTATTTGTCTCTGCTGTGTAGTACTCCACTGTGTAAATGTACCACATTTTCCTTACCCATTCTTCAGTTTGGGGAGCATTTAGGTTGTTTCCAAGTTCTGGCTATGACAAACAGTGCTGCTATGAACATAGCTGAGCACATTTCCTTGTGGTACAATTGAGCATTCTTTAGATATATACCCAAAAGTGGTATTACTGGGTCATGAGGAAGGTTGTGTCTTAATTTTCCGGGAAATCACTACACTGATATTCAATGGGGCTGTACCACTTGCACTCCCACCAGCAATGCAGGAGTGTTCCCTTCACCCCACATCCTCTCCAGCATAAGTTGTCATTAGTGTTTTTGATCTTGGCCATTCTTACAGGTGTAAGATAGACTCTCAGAGTTGTTTTGATTTGCATTTCTCTAATGACTAAGGATGTCAAACATTTCCTTAAGTGTCTTTCAGCCATTTTAGATTCCTCTGTTGAGAGTTCTCAACATTTTTTCATTGGATTATGTGATCTTTTGGCGTCCAGTTACTTGAGTTCTTTGTATATTTTGGAAATCAGACCTTTGTCCGATGTGGGGCTTGTGAAGATCTTTGTCTCTTCTGTAGGTTGCAATTTTGTCTTGTTAACCATGTTAACTTTTGCTTTATAGAAGCTTTTCTGTTTCAGGAGGTTCCATTTATTGTTTCTTTTAGTGTCTGTGCTACTGGGGTTATATTTAGGAAGTGGTCTCCTGTGACAATGCATTCAAGTGTACTTCCCACTTTCTCTTCTATGAGGTTCAGTGTGGCTGACTTTATGCTGAGGTTTTTGATCCATTTGGACTTGAATTTTGTGCATGGTGATAGATATGGATCTATTTTCATTCTTCTATAGGTTGATATCCAGTTATGCCAGCACCATTTGTCTCAGAGTAACTCTAACCAAACAAGTGGAAGACTTGTATGATAAGAACTTTAAATATTTGAATAAAGAAATTGAAGAAGACAACAGAAAATGGAAAGACCTCTAATCCTCTTGGGTAGGTAGAATTAACATAGTAAAAATACCAATCTTACCAAAAGAAGTCTACAGAATCAATGCAATGCCCATTAAAATTCCAGCAAAATTTCTCACAGACCTTGAAGGAATGGTACTCAACTTCATATGGAAAAACAAAAAAAAACAGTATAGCCTAAACAATCCTGTACAACAAAAGAACTTCTGGAGGCATCACAGTCTTTGACTTCAAACTCAACTATAGAGCTACAGCACTGAAAATAGCCTGGTATTGGCATTTAAAATAGATAGGAGGACCAATGGAACCAAATCGAAGACCAGGATATTAATCCACACACCTATGAACACCTGATTTTTGACAAAGAAGCAAAAAATATAAAATGGAACAAAGAAAGCACAAATGGTGCTGGCAGAAGCCTTTTAGATTCATGAGGTCACATTAATTAATCATTGGTCTTGATCTCTGTGCTGCTGTGATTCTGTTCAAAAAGCCCTTTCCTGTGCCAATGAGTTCAGATTTATTCTCAGCTTTCTCCTCTATCACGCAGAAAGTTAGTAAGAAGACATTGAGTAGGGCCTGCTGTAGGTGGGACAAAAGGTGGGTATGTAATGGATTAAAAGGGATTAATGATATGGGCAGATTTTAATGTGAAAGAGAATGGAGGGTCTGGGAGTAGCTAGAGGAGATACCACAAGGAAGGACAACAAGCATTAAAGATATTTCAAAAAAGTCAGAAAGAAATGAACTACCTGGGGAAGCCTCCTAAAATATATATGCACAAATATACAGTCTAAATGTAGTTCAAGGACAACAGTGTCCTTTCCGGACACCACAGGACAATAAGAAAAAAGTCTAATTCCAGACAAGTGTTTCCTATTTTGAAGTTATTAGGAAACGAGGTCTCAAAGACCACCAAGTACTATAGGTTACTGGCAATGCTTTTGGTCAGCCCCAGAACTTGACCGTAAGATGCTTTCACTAAAGACACCATACACTTGAGTTAGACCTTGGAGAAATCAAGCTAACTCCCACCTGAAAGCTTCCTCATCCTAGCTAGCCTTCACAAGGTGAATGGAGGAGAAAGGGAATGACAAATCTTACCCAATTGTGAACTAAACCTGTGAGCTACAAGAACTAATCACCTGCAAAGACAAATTCACTGATGCAATAGCTCATAAACGTCTTGGCAGCAACCAACCACTTTCTGATTGCATCTCAGTTCTACTTCCCAAGATGAAGCACATACTTGACATTGTTATTGTGTTTAATAAACCTGTGGCTAAACCTTTCATAGCCTCAAAATAAGAAACTAGTACTATTACTATGCTAAATGACCATAGTATTAAATGGACTCTTGAAAATATCATTACATCCATAATTTAGTGCATCTCCAAAGTCTTATCAGAGAAGCTGCCTCTGACAGTAGATAATAGCACAGAGAACCATGAGTGATTAAGGTCAGCAGATAACACACTGCAGAATGCACCAGTGTAAGTGAAACATCTATATTACATATCCTGCCTTCAAGGTAAAGGATTACTATGGAGATAAGAGAAAGATTCTAGAAGCTAAAATTTGTAGGTGATAAAGAGGAAATCATGCTTTCTGGACACAGAAGAATAGCTGCACATATCAGTCCATAGCAGTTAAGACAGCATACACAAAGTGTGTCTGTGTCTCACAAAAACATCACAGAAAGCAGAGGTAGGCATAAAATTTCTTCCTCCACTTAAGAAGCTATTGGCAGTTGATAGCTGCTGGTATCAGGAGAGTCAGTTTTCTTTAAGGGTCCAGACCTTGCCCTCCAGAGAAGCCCATACAACCATGATTATATGGGCAGCACACATTGAACTTAAGTAATTGTTTTTTAAAAAAAATAAAATTGAGATTGAGAGAAGAGGGAAGCCTAGATGTGGGAAGACTTGGGGAGATGACTGTGAGCAAAATATATTATATGAAATCCACAAAGAACCAATGAAAAGGGGAAAGAGCTTTGCGAGTGACACCAGCTGACTCATCATATTGAAACGGCTATAGGGGGAAAATGTGGTAGAGACCATATGAAATAAAAGGAACTCTGGACACCCCTGAGAACATGCATGGTGACAGTCATTGCAGAAAACCCTGGTATAGATTATCATCAACATGGTCATATAACTTTCTTATTGTTCTTCTGAAAATTTAACTGACAGACTAAAGAATGGGGTCGCAAAGATAGGACTGTGACTACCAAATTCATTGTGATGTTCCTCAGAAGAGGAAAGATGTGGATTTAATGACTCATAATGGCTTATCATGATATCTGAGTGTTAGGAAATAGTGATTGCTGGACAAGGCAGGGCAATTGTGCATGTGAATTCACAGCTTCTGAGACAGCATTCACAAAGCTGACAAAATTCTAGCTTGGAAATAGAAGCGGGCATGAAATCCCACACCCAACTAGAAAGCTATTGATGGTCAATGACTTCTGGAGGAGGAGAGTCAGCTTTCTTCCAGGATGCAGTTCTTGGTGGGCAGACCAAACTGCAAGGGATGGCCATCTAGTCAAGAGTGCATGTGCAACACAAACTATTTTTTTTTATTTATAGGGTTTTGGCTTTGTTTGGTTTGGTTTGGTTGAAAAGAGCATACAAAATTGGGTGAGTAGTGAAAGGGGTGTGGACTGAAGAACAGAAGGCTCAGGGGTAGATATGATCAAATTATATCGTATGGAATACTGAAAAACATAGAATGAAAATGGGAACAAAACTGAATTTTAAAAAGTAGAGAAGATGATACTTTATCAGCCTCGGTTCTATTTAATAGCAAAATCAGACTGATTTAATTACAAATGAAAGGCAATTTGATATTGTTTAATAAAAAAGAAAGACCATGAGAACAACCCAAATGTGTATCAATAGATGAATGTTTAACAGAAATGTCTCCTTCTCCTTCTTTCTTTACTTTCTCCCTTGTCGCGCAATCGCTGGTACAAAAAGCCCTCCTTTAGTAGCACCATGGAGGCTTAAATACCCTGCAGTCAATGGCCAACAGGTGAAAATCCCATCCTCTGATCCTCTAGGCAAAGCACAGCTTTTAGTAACTTCAATTAGAAGACTCTAGCAGGGAAGAGCAGCTGAAGGTCAGGACTCAATTGGTTCCAACACTCCCGCTCCCTCCCCTATACCTTTTCCATTTACCCACAAACAGCCTCGGCAAAGTAGGTACAGACACACAAGCATATATCGAAAAGTGATGGAGAACTTTAAATATAAGAAAAGTATTCTTAATTAAAGAGTTTATTGAAAAGCATGCATTTTTACACAAAAGCTGAGAGTCCAGCAGGCTCACATTTTATAAGGCATTGTGTAGACAGTGAAGGGACTCTCTATAAGCTGTCATCTAATCCACTGAACGAGACAGGTAAGATGGAAGTGTTGTATTTCCTTTGACTTACTCAGGCACTTTAATAAAATGGGTGAGGTTAGAAATTTCTGATGTGGGAAAATTATAGACACTTCTGTTAAAATATCAGATTATGGTCAACAGGCTGGACAGCTGTAGAAATTCATCAATAGAAGCCATAAGACCAGCATCTTCTATAGCACAGTGGACGGCAGCAGCCATAACCATAGCCACCATAGCCACCATAGCCACCACAGCCACAGCCATAACCACAGCCATAGCCACTGCCATAGCCATAGCCTAGGCCACCATAGCCATAGCCCAGGCCCCCATAGCCATAGCCCAGGCCTCCATAGTATCTGCCACAGCAGCACATGGTTTCAGGAGGTTGGATGAATTACTGGTGTTCTGTTGAAGACAACAGTAGGTTTCTTGAGTCTGGGTGTCAGCATTCATCGGCAGCCTTTTATACACCTGGGTAGCTGTTGGCAAAACCACAGGCATTATAGCATCACATGTCTCCTCTGTGTTTCAGAAACATCACGATTGTGATTTATTAGTACACGAGGCTGCATAACTGGCATAACTGTGTTCCTACGTCGGGATCCCATAGCCAAACTGTGCATCCTGATCTGAAACTCTGAGCTGCTTTTTATGTAGTGGAGTGAGATCATAATATAATTCTGACAGATGATATAAATCATTAAACAGGTTTCTGTTTTTCTCCCCCTTACACTTGCCTGGTTTTCATTACCCCACTGAAAGGCTTCTGTGTTTTCTTTCCTGTTATTTTGTTTTGTTGTCTGAAATCAGTATTTGCTGGAAGAGTACATTTCTGTCATTTTCCCTGTGAACAGTAAGCTAACTATCAGTTACATTATTTGTAACTGGTTGGCAAGTGTCAACATATTCGGGTACATCCCTGGCCACATTGTCTCCCTGCACATTGTTTTAAAATCCCTGGAAAATAAAATACCATTTGTGCAGAAACTGCATATGCTTCATGTTTCTCTTTGTGAGCCCAGGTGATGATGCTGAGGATGACGTGACTTTGAAATGCACTCTGATTGTGTGAGTAATCTAAAGTCAGCTCTGATTAATGTGCTATTGTTGTGTTAGCAGGGCATGCACATGCTCTCACACACATGGTTTAGCAGGAGAGCAGTGATATCAGTGTACCAGACATCTGGAGAGATATCTCAGTAAATAAGAGTACCAGCTGTGAAAACATAAGCTCCTCAGTTCAAATCCCATAAACCCATATAGAAAGCTCCATATGTCACATCAGTGCTGTTAGGGTTAAGAAACAGTAGAACTTCCAAGGATTGCTGGTTGCCAGGTCAACTCCATATGGAGTAAGAGAACCTGTCTATTGGGAATAAAGTTTGTTGAGAGAGAACAGGACCAATAATTTCTTCCCTGGACTCAACCACCCACTTACATATGTGTGCCCACTACAAACATACACATGCAGATACATACACATGCCCACACACAGGAACATCAATTTCTGTGAATAAGTTCTAGTGATGGGACCTTTGCCTTCTATGCACAAAACATCAAATATATGCCTAAGCATTGTCCCCTCTAATTATCAACTGTACAGACTCCTTACAATTAGTCAAAGAAACCACATGCACTTTCTTTGGCTCAGTTTGTAGGTGAAGGCTGGAGTATTCATATTTATGGTACAAAGCAATCATTGGAAGGCATGGCTTTGTTTGGTTTGAACTTTTCAAAAATGTATTAAAATATATGTTGTATAAAAATAAAATGTATCTACTAAACACATTGAGTTCAGGGAGTATAACAATCATAGAAACAAATATATGTAAATGAGATCACATCATGTTAAATATATCTAATGAATGATTTCCTAAGTAGACATTTTCTCTCTGGTTTTACAGTGCCTAACCTGAAATTCTTAGAATCCACAAACACTTCCAGTAATATAATAATTATATATCAAAACTAGTCTTGCATATATAGAAAGAGCCTGTATATGAAATCAAGCAATGTATAGAAATAAAATTTTAAAAGAAAGGAATAAATGTAAACTTAAGCCAATTTGTGTGAAAATGCCAGGGATATTCCAAATTAAACTCACATATATGAAGAATCAAAGCAAACATTGAGGAGTATGTTGTGAATATGTTTGATTACCATTGGTTAATAGACAAGCTGCTTTGGCCTATGGCAGGGCAGAATACAGCAAGGTGGGAAATTCAAGCAGAGATAGTGAAAGAAAGAAGGTGGAGTCAGGGAGACCCCATGTAACTGCCCAAGGAGAAAGATGACATAACCTTACTGGTAAGTCAAAGTCTTGCGGCAATATGCAGATTAATAGAAATGGGATAATTTAATATTTAAGAGCTAGGTAGAATATGCCCAAGCTCTTGGCCAAGCAGTGTTGTAATTAATACAGTTTCTGTGCGATTATTCAGATCTGGGAGGCTGGGAAATGAATGCTCAGTCTCTGACTTCAGTAGTCAGTAGTGTTTTTCATCTTAGCCACTCTAATTAGGGTAAGAAGAAATATCAAGGTACTTTTCATTTGCATTTCTCTGATGGTTAATGGTGCTGAACAGTTTTATATGTTTCTCATGTGTTTATATTTCATCATTTGAGATATGTTTGTTTAGTTCCATATCCTGTTTTAAAATTGCTTATTTTCTTGATGTTTAGTTTTTTAGTTATTTGTGTATTTTAGATGCTAGGCTTCTATTGGAAGTATAGCCTTAAAATATTTTTCTATTACATAAGATGTTATTGTTGAAAAGGGACTGCTTGTTTGGTTCCCAGCTGCTCAGCTCCAAAATGATCACACAGAAACTTTATTATTTAAATCATTGCTTGGCCCATTTGCTCTAGTTTCTTATTGACTAATTCTTACAGATTAATTTAACCCATTTCTATTAATCTGTGTATCTCCATATGGTTGTGGCTTACCGGCTAAATAGCTGGCATCTGTCTCTGGTGGGGCTACATGGCTTCTCTCTTTCTACACCTCCTTTCTCCCAGCATTCAGCTTAGTTTTCTATGCCTAGCTCTACTCTACCCTATCAACTAGCCAAAGCAGTTACTTTCTTAACAAATGGTATTCACAGCCTACAGAGGGTAAATCCACACCATGTTTTGTCGCTCAAATGATGACATCCTTTGCTGTACAGAATCTCTGGTTTTATGAGTTCCCATTTATCGGTTGTTGGTTTTAACAACTGTACTTCTGAATTTCTAGTCTGAAAGTCTCGCCCTGTGCTAACGGGTTCTAGTGCTTTGCCTGCATTCTTATCTATCAGGATCCATTATCACTGTGTCTATTATTATGCCAGCACTAAGCCATTTTTATTATTATAGGCTTGTACAGGTCAGGAAATTACAAAAGGGACATGCGAGGGGCAGGGCTTTGAAGAGAGTAAGGGTGGAATGGAGTGATTTAAATGTGTAAGTCAGAAAGCCAGAACAGGAATTAGTACAGGAGGGCAGGAAAGAGGAGTAACTAAAGGCAAGATACTACAGGGTAAGATATAAAAGGCCTATTGCCAAGAATAAGTTATCCTTTCCAAAAATGTTGGCTACAAAGATCTCATAGACACCTTCAAAATGGCAGACTTTTGCCACTCTTCTTATTTACTTCAAGACTTGTTGGTAAGACCTTAATGCTGAAGACGAGAAACTCGTGAGTCACAGAACATGAAGAAAATCAATCAGGTAATACATGGGAGATATGGTCCAGTTAGCTAGATTCTTTATTTCTGAAAACTTCTCTGTATGATGCATAAGAGGGAAAGTAGCCATGGGTCTTATGTAGCCATATAAACCCTGCAAGCCACAATAACATCTCATCTGGCAAGACTCACCCCCTGGTTCAATAGTTGTAGGAACAGCATGGGAATAAAAAACCAGTTTCTAAGTAGGGCATACTTCATAATATAAAAACCATACTTGGCACTATTCTTAGGACCAGAACCTGTGGCTGGACATGTATTTGGACTTAGAGGAAACTTGTCATTACTATACAACTAGTGGACACAATATTAAAGATTAACAATATCTTGCAATAATATCAATATCAAAGACTAACAATATTGTATGTCCATTGATTGGTGAATCACTAAATCATCTTCAAAAAAGCTTATTTTTACAGTAGATGTTGATTCTTTGCAAAGGCCCATGACTGGTCAATGAGCAGAGTATAAGAGATTGCAGAGCACTCAGCCACAAATGGAACATCTATATCATATCCTATTCTCCTGAAGATCTGGTATCATTGTTTACAGAGGAGGGAGAAGAAGATTGTAAAAGCAAGAATCAGGGAACACTGCTTTCCAGACCCAGCAGGAAATGTGAACTTGTGAACTCACAACAGTTGTGACAGCATACCCCATATCTGTGTAAGCTCATACCACACAAAATCCCAACTTGAAGGAAGGAGGCAGGCACAAAATCGCACTACTAGTTAAGGAGACACTGGAAACTGGTAGCTGCCAGAAGATAGTTTCTTTAAGCAGGTGACCCTGGGTATGTGCCATAGATAGCCCTACATCACAGGGTGTATAGACAGCACAATTCAAATAAGTATGTTTAATAAAATTTTATTACTATACCAAAAAGAAAAGAAAGATTTTTTTTATCTCAAAATGCTAGCTCAACATAAAAGAGACTCAAAGTAGTATGGTCAGGGAAAAAGTAGGGGGTGCTCTGGGAGAGAATTGGGAAGAAGGGTAAATATGATCAAAACGCAGTTTATGAAATTCTCACAGAACTAATGTTTAGTCTCAGAATCAATTTGGTTATGACTTTCAAAACAGATAACAAAAATGAAAAGTCATATTGTATCCAACTAAGACGCTTTACACAGCAGAGCAATCCATAAAAGAAAAGAAAATCAATATATACAAGAAATGGGAGATTAATAACCAAAATGAGGTAGTATCTCCAGCTGAGCAGCAGGAAGACAGCAAATATGTTAACAATGTCATAGACTGGAATAGACAATTTTCAAAAGGAAACCTCAGATGGCCAGAGGGAGAAATAAGGGTCTATTTCACTAATATCTCAAAATTGCAAATCCAAGTCACAATAAGACTGCAGCTGCTAATAGAAAGTCTCTTAGGAAGCACATGGGTATCAGAGGACGTGTGAAGAAAAGACAACCCTCTCTTCTGCGAGAACGTGTGTGATGGCAGCCATTATAGAAAACACTGTAGGCTCTTCCTCAAATATTCATAAAAATAACGTGATATTTCTGACATCTTTACTAGAAGACAAAAGGATTTGACCTCAGAAAATATCTGTACTACCAAATTCATTGGGACATTACTCACAACTGGAAAGATGTGAGAACATCCCAAATGTCTATCAATAATAGATGAATGTTCAAAGGAAGCGTCTCCTTTTCTTTCTTACTCTTTTGCTTTCTTCCTATTTACTCACAAAAATCCACACAGTTGTGACCAAGCAGACAGGAGTACACAGACATACATCCAATGTTGATGGAGACCACTAAACAGAGCCAAAAGAATCAATATTTTTAGTGAATAGTTTATTTAAAAGGAAATTATTTTAATAAAATAGGTAATAATTTAACTAAGTCTCATTTTTCAAAGATGTTATGAAAACAATGAAGAATTTCCCCGCATTTCATATTTTTTGCTTCTTTGTCAAAAATCAGGTGCTTGTAGGTGTGTGAATTAATATCCTGGTCTTTGATTTGGTTCCATTGGCCTCCTGTATGTTTTTATGTCTGCTTTCAGTACTGCAGCCCTGTAGTAGAGTTTGAAGTCAGAAATTGTGATGCCTCCAGAAGTTCTTCTATTGTTCAGGATTGTTTTGGCTATCCTGGAAGCTGACACACTGTCAAAATGCAGATGAGGAATATGATATTCTTGCTGTACTTTGTTTACTTTTTCTCAGATAGTTTAGAATAAGGATGGAATTTATGACAAATTTTTAAGAACTTCTGATATGAAGAAAGTTGGAGCAAGCAGCTGTTGATTCTCCTCAGTAGAAACCACAGGACCAATACCTTCTATAGCATAGTGGGCGATAGCAGCCATAACCATATCCACCATAGCCGCCATAGCCACCATATCCACCATAGCCACAGCCATAGCCTAGGCCACCATAGCCATAGCCCAGGCCTCCATAGTATCCGCCATAGTAACACATGGTGTCAGGAGTGGGGTATTCAGAGGATGATAAGCAGTAGGATCCTTGAGTCTGGGTGTCCCCATCTGCCCAGGGCCTTTTATACACCTGGGTTGTTTCTGGAACAAAACCACAGGCATTAGAGAGTCGCATGTCTGTGTACTGTGCTTCAGAAACATCACGAGTTTGATGATTTACTGGATACACAAGGCTGCATAACTGAGATGATTGTGCTCCTATGTCAGAATTCCACAGTCAAATCATGGGGCTTTAAGGTGGAGGTGAACATGGGAGAAATCAGAGTTGTGGGGAGAGAGGTTGGAATGATGTAAATACAGTATCTACTTATAAAATTCTCGAAAGACAAATGATTTAAATTTATGCTAAAGAAGTAAAGTCCTTGTTCATTTTTCAGCACTCTATTCTGTATTTATTCGAGTGAATTTATGTGGCCTGATTTTATTATGTGCTACACATCAACTTACAAGGAGCTAAGATAATTAACTCCCTTTACCCTTTTTTGATATAGGGGAGGGCAGTTCCACCACTGCACTCTGGAAAAAAAAAATACTTCCATTAAATATAGACCTATCCTTTGGGACATCTCTTCCGTAATTGCAATGGAAGAGGCTTATCTTTTAAGAGCAAGAAATTAAATTTTAATATAATGAAATTGTTTGTTGCTGTAATCTGTACATATATGCTTCCATAAGTCATAGACGTATATGTTCTATGATCAATTTGGGTATCACTCTCCTGTCTAACATTTGTTCTGTTGCTTCATACAGGTTACCCTTGGGCTGCCACTCATTTTCCTGTGCAGAAGAGTTTCAGTGATTCCTCACACATATGAATACATTGTTAATAGAATTTTTAAAAATTGGTAAAAAAAAAAAAGAGATTATTTTGTCTACTTTTGGAAGATGGTGGCTTAATCCAGACAAACAAATGCATATGCAAACGTGTGTGGGGTGGCTTATTTGATTTATCAAATCCACTGTGGTTTAAATTGACTAAGGAAGCTTTGGGAACCGTATTATAACTTCCACAGGAATCCAAATACATAGCTGTTAAAGGTATACAAACAAACTGATTTTCATAACATATTTAAAAAGCAACAGTTGCCAAAGTTCATGTAATGTTTACTAATAGAAATGAAATAATTTAGCATCTGCCACCCTTCTAGCTCTGAGTCTCTCTCAGAAACCTGTCACGGAGGAATCATCCACAGATACTCCCAGCAGGTAATTGGGGGCTACAGCTACCTGTCAGTAGGCACACATGGGAGAAAGGAAAAGGAGGAGAAACAGAAACTGTCAACAGAGAATACAGTATGTAGACACTTCACACACATCATGTTACTACTTTTGTTTCACAAAACAGAATGCTTCTGATTGCTGGGCCTATGAAACTTAGGCTTGGAACATTTCATGAATGAATTTATAATATTTGTGACATTACTCAAATTAGATATGCACATATAAAACTCACTAATGGTAACATATTTTTCCCTCCTAACCAAGATTTAACTCAAAGAGGAATCAAAGACATAAATGTAAAAAATCCTAATGATTTTTTATTAGAATATACAAATATAACAGAACTATATGTTTAAAATATTATACTCTTTCTCCAACAGATAGATTTTCTTCATGAAAATCAGTTAATCATAAATTACTGGACGTACAATATTATACATCCACACATATGGGATTGAATTCTAAGACAGTAATATGTGCATTGTTCTAATTCTAAACTTGCAAGACGTCAACTCTTGTAGTTTGTACTGTTTTATAGCTGAGAGCTGCAAAGCCTCTGAGTTTATTACTTTTCACCATTGTCTCAGTGCTGTTTATCTTAAATATTCAAAAAAATCTTAAAGTCATATGCAACATTCCTACAATACCAGCTAAGATTATGGAATAGATTAACTAAAAACTACAGATCATCTGAGGAATCCTGCAGCTTACCAATATTAAATTCTACCATAGGCAAGGAAAAGATTGAATCTCTTTCAGCATTATTTTATACTTTTTACTTGTCTCATTGAATGTCTTCTTTGATTATTATTTTTGCATTAAATTCATATACAGGTTATCCAATGTCAATGTATAACATAAAATAAATACTTCTATATTCATCCTGAGAAGAAAGTATATGCACCGAAAGAAGAGCATGGAAAATAATATTACTTAGGAGACACCAGACCTTGAATAGCAGGAAACTAACATCTCTAAATAGATACCGCTTACTCACAGAAGCGACAGTCTATCAACTCTTACACTGGGTCATAGCTTGACCCTTGTTCTCTTCCTTTAACATGCTATTGCCCAAAAGTATCTGAACAGGCCAAATAAAGACACCAGACCCATGCAGGGGGAGCTGGGGAAATCTCCTATCAGTGCTTGTATTGGAATTGAGACATGATCAAATCTCAGTCTCGAACAGAGCAGACAACAATGTGGATTTCAAATTTTAAAAGTTATATATTTACACAAGGGAAGACACTTACCCATTTAAGGGATCATTAACAAACAAGTACATTGAAAATTCCATAGTTCAGAATAAAGTCACCAAGATACCAACTAGGAAGGTACCGCCTAACAAATTTCAAGGTGAAAAAAGAGATGGCAGTAAAACAACAAAGGACTTACAGACATTCTACATTAAATATTCATGGGCAGTGCTTATCTAGAGGACATAATTATTTACATATTAATGATGGATAGATATTCTGTTAGCTTTGTAGCTACTCTAATGTCTCCAGTCATGAACTCCGCACAGAGACAACTCACTAATAAATCCTAAATGCTCATACTGCTGTGGAATGAAAAGTGAATAACAAAGTAGGGTAAAAAGCTCAAAGACAAAGTGCCTCTCGTGAATACTCGTCACAGACATTAAACTAACAAAAGCATAGTGTTTCATGATTGAACATTCATATAGCACAAATTTTCCTGCTAAAGATATCTGCTTGGGTTTTTGGGATCCTGACATAATGTCAAAAGGATTCTTAACTATGAAAGCGTCTGTGTCCCTAATAAACTGTGCTTCCTAAAAGTTTAAAATATGAATTACAGTCAAGCATGAAGCTAACACCTTCCTGTGGCTTGCCCTTCCCATCACGTAAATTGTTGAAAAATTATGGGCAGCTGGTGACATTCACAAAGAGGAAACTGCAATCTGCTCAACTGAACCCTTCCGCTCTCAAAGCCATGAGCTATTTATGGCTGCTATTATGGTGCCCTGTATTATGGCTATGGCAAGTTTGGATACAGCTGCTGTCCCCATGTTGCTGTTGGAGTTACTAGTCCTACAGATTCTACTGAGTCTGGAGCTGATCGGCCTGTAGAACTCCTTCTCCCACTACCCCCTACATTTTCCAAATGTCTGTCCATGACATAAATAATTTATTTGTCTTACAGAACAGTAAAAACAAGAACATCATGCTGATGTTTAATCTTTCAATGTATCAGACTTAGCAAGCTTCACATAAGAGATTTCAACATGCATAAAGCATGTTTTATTTCAGGAATTATTACTTTGGCATTTGTTAAAAATAAATAGCTTCAAAGAGAAAATTCTCTTTCCATTACTTATTATTATTATTTTTTGCAAAACATGCAGCTTGTTTGTCCAGTTTTCTCTGTTGTTTAAGGTCCATTTCTCTTTATGTGTTTTTTCATGATTATGTGAAGGGAGTGGTTGAAGTCTTGAATAAATATGTATTAAGGTAATAAGCACACCCAAGTCAAGGATACCAATGCTTCAGACCCATAGGAATGGCAAAATCTCCCTTGGTCAAGCTAAGAGGAATGATAAGAACTTCCACTGTCACAATAACAGATACTGACAGTGTGTGCAGAAAGCATCTCTGTTGCCTGCTGCTAGACACCATTCCCCACCAAGATTATCTGACCTACCTCCTCTCTCATGCTGTCTCTGATGCCTGCAGCTGAAGACTGGTCCCCACCAAGATGACCTAAGCCACCTCCTCCTCCTCCATGCTATCTCAGCACCTGTTGTTGAGTCTCAGAGAACAAGTCCCACCTGATCCCAGATCTTCTGTATGTGTGACTCTATGCCTTTAATGGTTTCAATCTCTTCACCTCAGTTAAGTCAATCGTAAGCCTTGCAAGTCACAGCACTCAGAAGCAGATTTTCTACAAATAAGTGCACACATTTAGAGAATGCATATTTTATTCTGATGCATGGAATCAATTTGTGTGACAGGTAATGAGGTGAACTCAATTCATCACCACACAGCAGAAGGCTCAGCTCAAGCATGGCCTGTCCTTCATTCAACCTTCCTGTCACTCTAAAAAAAAGTGATGTTGTTTGATTTATATACATCACTTTATTTAGATAACTTCCTTCAGTTAAAAGTAGATTAATGAATAAATTATCCTGAGTCCAATATAAAACACTGATACCTTTTCACTAAGATAAAGAGAAAAACTACCTGCAGGAGACTTTGCATGTGCCCTCATTGTAGCTCAACCTTGCTCATTATGACCTTTATATTCCAACCATTTCTTCTTCAACCACCTGATCACAAGTCAGACAGAATGACATGCAAATTATTATAGTTGAATACATTCCATCCTTCTCTTTCTGGGTCTGGGTTCCCTCACTCAGGATAGATTTTTCTACTTTCATCCATTTGCCTGAAAATTTCAAGATGTCCTTGTTTTACTGTTGAGTAATACTCCATTGTGTAAATGTACCACATTTTCTTTATTCATTCTTCAGTTGATGGACATCGAGGTTTTTTCCAAGTTCTGGCTATTACAAATAATGCTGCTATGGACATAGTTGAGCAAATATCCTTGTGGTATGATTGTGCATTCTTTGGGTAAATGCCCAAGAGTGGTATTGCTAGGTCTTGAAGTAGATTGATACCCAATTTTCTGATGAACAGCCATACTGATTCCAAAGTGGCTGTATAAATTTGCACTCCCATTAGCAATGAAGGAGTGTTTCCCATACTCCACATGACCCAACCTAGAGAAAGTTCACAGACTATGCACTGACAGCTGGAAACCTCCATGGGATCAAACTAGAACCTCTGAATATGGGTGTAAGTTATGTGGTTCGATCTGTTAGGGAAGGGTAGTGGCAGTAAGAGCAGAACCTATCCCAGGCGCATGAACTTGTTTTTTAGAGTCCATTGCCTATGGTGGGATACCATGTTCAGCCTTGATACTGAGGAGAGGGGCTTGGTCTTGCCTCAAATTGGTATGCCAGACATTGTTAACTCCCCAAAGAAGAACTTAGCCCCTCTGAGGAGTGAATGGAGAATAAGAAGTAGGGAAGAGGGAAAGGACAGGAGAAGGTTGGAATTGGGTTGATATATATATATATAAAGTAAAAAAATGAATTTTTAATAAAAAAGAAAATATATAGTTTTTTTAAAGGAACAACTTTAAACACATTTTTTTCTAATTGCTGGCTTAGATTTTCTGTGAATAAGTATCTTTCAGTACTTGGATCATGTACCTCTGTTATCAAATGAGAGAAGAAAAAAATGAAAAGTAGATCAAATCCTCTCTTCTTAGAAAGTAATTTCAACATCACAAAATCAACCAGAAACAAGAGGAAACTTCAGAGAATGAAGCTGTGTTGGAGAAGTTACCAATCACACAATTAGAAAGTCAATGTGATGCCTCTATGAAAGTCACAAGAGGGACAGTTACATTTATAGGTTTGTGATACATGGTTACATCGGTCACATGATTGAAGTGGTAGAATGGGGAGAGATATAAGAGTGAAATGAACAATAGATGTTATAACTGGAAAAAACTGGAGAACTTGAGAAAGAGAACTTATAAATTATTTTATGTTTTTAAACCTTTCTTTGCTGATATATATACATATTTATATATATGTGTTTATCTATGTGTTTATTTATATATATAACATTTGTGATTAATTTCATATTCAAAGAAAACAAGTTCTACCACTGACGGAGACGGTATCTGGAGAAATGTGATCCTCAGCCATTGTAAAGTAAGAGGGAGAGGTGCTACTTAAGAAGTCCTCTGACATCTACCCTTATGTGAATTATGCCTCATCTGTATAGATATCCCTATTTTACTGTCAAACTTATTATACTACATTTTTATGAGACAGGATCACTCTGTATCTCAGCTTGGCCAAGAACTATGCAGCTCAGAACAGTCTCAAATCTTTTAGCAGCAGCTCCTGCCTCAGCCTCCCGAAGGCAAAGCAGGGAAGAGCAGCAGTGTTGAGAGGAGGCTGCTGTGGGAGAGGGAGGTGTGAGAGGTGAAGAAGGTGTGTGAGAGAAGGATGAGAGAATGAATGAGTAAGAGAGAGTGGGTAAGCAATGAATGATTGAGATCGAAGAAACACAAGTGTATGAATGTGTGTGAGAAAGAGCTGTGTGAAAGAGCTGCTGCTACAGAGGAGCTGTGCCTCAGGATTGTGTAAAGTGCTGTACGGTGGGAGGCTATGTCAATGAGATCTATAGCTATGGTAGTATGGGGATCTGTGACTGTGTGGAGGCAGGAAGAGGAAACTGTATAGAGAAGAGATACAAAGGAGAAAGGTATGGAATAGAAAGGTGTGCAGTCATGCGGGAAGATACGTTGTAACTGAATATTGAAATATGTAACTGGACAGGAGAGGAAGGTCTGTATGTTAAGAGAGATTGTCAAGAAAGAGAGACGATTTAAGTTAAAGAAAAGGAGAAAATTACCATCAGGAAAGTGTGTGCTTGTTCCTTTTTTTTTTTTTTTTTTAGGTTACCATCAGAAAGTGTGAGTTTCTAGAAAAGCCTAGTCCCTGCTGCCTTTGTGGATTTTCTCACATACTCTGGTGCTGACTTCTGGGGACTGCTCCCCAAAAAGTCAGCAATAATCATTGAGTTCAGGATAAATCTGAATTTTGCATTTGGAAGATGTACACAGCCGCTGAGTTAACAATAGCAAACATAAGATTCAGAAAATAAATTCTTCAAGATATATTTACATTACATTAACAAAACAATAAAGACTGTCTTCCTATAGAATATTACAAAATAAATGAATATTAAAAACATAAAATATCTTACTTATTTAAATCGTATCACAGAGTACATTTATAAATATTTAATAAGGTACATATAAAATGAGACAGTCTTAAAAATAGAACCAGGATTTCACATTAGAGTCCCATGGTTTGACCTTGGGACCCTGACATAGGAGCACAATTATTTTAGTTATGCAGTCTTGTCTGTCCAGTATAACATGACACTGAATGTTTTCTCAAGCATGGTAAAGAGATGTATAATGCCACAGTGCCTGTGGTTTACCCCAGCAACAGCCCAGGTGTATAAAAGGCTCTGGGCAGATAGGGACACCCAGACTTGAAAAACCTACTGCTTATCTTCTCCGAACAGGCCACTTCTGACAACATGTGTTACTACGGCAGCTACTATGGAGGACTGGGCTATGGCTATGGTGGCCTAGGCTATGGCTATGGTGGCTATGGTGGCTATGGTGGCTACGGTTATGGTTGTTACCGCCCACTGTGCTATAGAAGGTACTGGTCCTGTGGCTTCTACTGAGGAGATTCTATAACTGCTCACTCCAAATTTCTTCACCTCAGATGTTCTTAAGCATCTTCATAAATTCCAACCTCATGATTAGCTATTTGAGAAAAAATAAATGAAATACAACATGGCTACCAAATTCCTTATTTTCAATTTGAAGGCATGAATATTTGCAGAAAGCTATTCTTTGTCACCATAATGCCTGAGAAAAAGAGATTCTCTTGCATTCTAATCTTTTCCCTGAATATATATGTGTTTAAATAAAATTTTTTTCTTGAAATATAGTTTTACCAAATGTTGAATGTATGTTTACGCATTTATATCTGATGGGTAACATATGTGTAATTGTGTATAAATGGGAGAGGGGTTGAAAAAAAAGAGAGAGAGAAAAGGGAGGGAGGGAAGAGAAAGAAGGCAAGAGGAAAAGAGAGGGAGGGAATATGGAAGGAGAGAGAGAAGGAAGGACAGAAGGAAGGGAGGGGTGGAAAAAAGAATGAAAGAGAAAAAGGAAGGAGGAGAAAGAGAGAGAAAGAAAAAGAAAGAAAGAAAGAAAGAAAGAGAGAAAGAAAGAAAGAAAGGAAGGAAAGAAGAAAGAAAGAAAGAAAGAAAGAAAGAAAGAAAGAAAGAAAGAAAGAAGAGAGGTAGGGAGGGAGGGAAGGAGGGAGGGACGGAGGGAAGAAGGGAAGGGCAAAAGAGGGAGGGAAGGGAGAGTGTGAGAGGGAGGGAAGGGGACAGAGGGAAGAGGAGAAAACAAGAGGGAGAGAAAGGGAGGAAACAAGAAGGAAGGAGGGGGAGAGAATGAGGAGGGAGGGAGAGAAGGAAGGAAGGAAGGAAGGAAGAGAAAAAAGAATGAAAGAGAGGAAGGAAGGAAGAAGAAAGAGAAGAAAAGAGAAAGAAAGAAAGAAAGAAAGAAAGAAAGAAAGAAAGAAAGAAAGAAAGAAAGAAAGAGATGGATGTTCTCTTTAAGCATTCTTCTACTGGTAGATTTTTTAAACATCTTCATAGTTTTGCTAATGCAGAATGTCTCTAAGAACAAACCTTTTGTTTGCTAATTAAATGTTACTTCTCCAAATATGTTTGGAATATCCCAAATGCCTTCCATGGTTGTCATAACATAATCCTCACAGTGCACAGGCTTCCCTTAACTGCACAAGATCTGCAGCACCAGTCTTCTTTCTAATGTCCATTTTATTAACAACTATAAAGAAGGATCTCATTGTAATTTTTACTTACAATTTTGAAAATGCCCCCTTGGCCATTTGTGGACTTTCTTCTGAAGTGTGTTGGTAATAATTCTCTAACAATTATAACATCAGTGTATTTGTAGATATTCCATGTAATTTCAGTTATGGAATTCCCATTCTTTATATAGAGCAGTGCGTGAATTGCCCTGCTATGCCAAATCCCTTAGATGGGTACAAGCAGCCATTTCTATTTTCTTTCTGTTGCTTGTGCTTTTAAAGTCACAGCCAATCATTTATGAGACTAAGAAAAGAAAGGTTTCCACTATTTATTCCTTTTTGTTACTAGTTCTTGGTGAACCTCATAAGATACATTTGGATAAAAGTAATGTCTTTCCATATCTCTTCTCAGACCTCCCAATTTATGTCCAACCAGCATTGGGTCCTTTTTTTCTTAAACTAGTCTAGTCCAATTTAGGATGCCTATACCCTCTAGGATGGGTAACCAACCATCTCCTGGAGTGTGGCTGACCTACTTGGGGCCACAACCCTAAAGAGGCTGACTCTTCACTTGCTGGCAGATACCAAATAACAACAGCTCCTGAGCTAAAAATAGAAATTCATATCCGCCTCACAACTTTGAGTTGGGATTTTATCTGGCTCAAGCTTTCATAGGTCTTATGCAAGCACTCACAACTTCTGTGAGTTCATACATTGAACTACCTTCTGTGTGGGAAAAATCTGTTTACTTATAGTCATGAATTGTCCCACAACTATATTAAATCTATCCATACCACCACTGTGTATGTGTGGTGTGGTGTGTGTGTGTGTGTGTGTGTGTGTGTGTGTGTGTGTGTGTGTAAGTGTGTGACTCTGTGATTCTCATTATGTGTATTTTGTCCAGTTTGTAATCTCAGAGTTAATCATCATCCACCACAACAAGGCATGGCTCTGATAAAAGTTGAGAGGTGCACTAATCTACAAATATAACATTGGAACTCTGTTTAATATCAAGACTAGTTAGCAAAATACTTCTAGCAGGCACTGCCATAGGGCCTTTGACCTATCTAACTTCAGACTCTGAGGCCTAGTAATGGTGCCATGTATGGGTTACATCCTTTGAAATAAAACTTAGATTCAATCGGAAAGGAGTTTATTACACCCAAGGTCTTCAAGTCTTTGCTACAGCTGTGTGCATATATTGACAGACCAGTCCTTTTTGAATCCCACAAAGCTCACAGTTGGTTAAAACTGATAACATTTTATCTTACAGTAGTATGTATGACAACTTACAATGCTAAGAAAGTTACATAGTAGCTATGAAGCTTCCGAGTCAGGACAAGCTTGATTTCTCCATGTTCTGTAACTCAACTATATCTTCAGCAACAGGATCATAATGTCAGGTTCTGGATGTAAACAATAGGATTGGGAATAGCCAGTAATATTCTGAGGTCTATTGGAGCCCGTTGGTCAAGAATTCCAAAAGAGGTAACCCATTCCAGGCAATGGGCTTTTTACTTGTCAGCTTGTGATGTCTATTATGGATATTGCTAGCCTATTATAGGGTAACCCCATTTGAATATGCATACACATGTATAGGCAAATATAAAATGCACATTATATATGTATGTATAATTTGTATTTATATATACATGTACACTATACATATATATACATATACACATATGTGGAAGCTTATATAGTGGAAAGCAGGCTTCCATACAGTATTCCCATAAGGTTCTTAGTGTTAGTAATTCCTCTTTTCCTGCGTTCCCACCCACCAACCTTTATAACTTTTGCTGTTCCATTATAACTTTTACCTCTTGATACTCCAGCATTCAATTTCAACTCATTTAAGAATACTCATACACACAGAGAAACATGTGCATTGCCCCTTACTAATATCTTGTCCTCTGCAAAGCTATATTAACAAACAGCATGGTACTGGCATTAAAAATAGATGCACTGATCAATGGAATCTGAGAAAGTGTAATACATGAACTTTGAGCCACAGAGAAGTACTTTTGAGAAAGAACCACAATCAGACAGAGCTTAAGAGTACAACATATAAATATGACCTCATAAAGCTCAAAATTTCTGTAAGCAAAGAACACCATCATTCAAGTAAAGAGAGGCCCTAAATTATGGGGGGAAACTTTAACTTTTCTATATTGAAGAAAAGGCTAGTATCTAGAATATAAAAAGAACTCAAAAACCTAACATCAAGAAAACAAACTATCAAAATTATTAAATAGAGGAGGATGGAACTAAACAGTTGCCTCACAAGTTATGAAATATAAATGCTTGAGAAACACTTTTAAAATATTTAGCTTCACTAGCCCTCAGGGAAATAAAAGTCAAAATGACTTTGAAATGCCTTCTTCCCTCACGGCTAAGACGAAGAGCACAAATGTCTGCAAATGCTATTGTGGATTCTGGGAAAGGAAACATTTGTTTGCATCTGGTAGGAGTGCAAAGTGCTGCAGCCATGGTGGAAATCAGTGTGGAGATCATTTTTAAAAAACACAAAAAAAACCTAGAAATAGATCTAGTACATGATCCAGATATACCATGCTTGGGCATAAATACAATGGTCTCAGTATCATAGTATACTTTCTTATTCATGATCATTGTTGCTCCATTCAACATATCCAAGGAACAGAGACAGCTGTGTTGTGTAGTCTATAGATAAGTGCGTATAAAAACTGTGTTGCTTTTACACAATGGAACATGATCCAACTGTTAAGAGAAGTGAACTGTGACACTTGCACTTGAATGGATGAAACTAAAAGACTGAGTGAACTAAGACCTGAAAGTCAAATGTCAAATACTTTGAGGATGTTCGCTTTGATTCTTCAAATATGTATTCCATTTGAAGTACCCCATGGAATGACTCTGAGGATTGAAGTTCGTATACATTCCTTTCACTAAAAATTTTATTTTATGCATGTTTTCAAATGTAGGCACTTTCTTCATACCTCTCTATATAAGACTGGTTTTCATATTTCATGATCAAATCTCTACCACTGACAGCACTTGTGTGTCCAAAGAATTTCAGGTTGGACACTCAACATCAGAGAAAAATCTCATGAAATTGTCCAATAGCTACATTTGTCATGAAACTCCCTTGTTTACATAGATTTGTCTCTTTGTCAAACTCCTTGACTGAATGCTTAGCTGCACATATTTTATTTTAGAAAACATATATTATTGTAAATATGTAAAAATAGAATTTCTCTGGGTATGCATGTGTGAAATGTCTGTCTGTATGTGTGTATTTTTGTGTTGTATGTGAGTGTGGTATAAGCACATAGGTGTTTGAGTAGATGAATGAATGTGTATACTTGCTAAATGAGCACATTATGTAATTTCTTTACTTTTTCCACCTACTCTATACCCATGAAATGTGTTTTCAGTGGGACATGGTGCCAGACTGACAATCTGTTCGTCATAGTATCCTTTTGTACTTTACACCATAACACCGAGGTGTAGGAATCTGAACACACACAACTTCTTACATGCGTTTTGGAGATTTTCAGCTATATTCTCATGCTGACACAAAAAGTACTTATCTACCTGACTATTAGTTAAACTCGTAAAGCTGTGTATCTACAGTTTCTCAGCAAAGCTCACGTGACCATTATTTCAAAAAATTATAAATATTGACCTTGGCTCAACAAAAAATCCATAATGCCTTTTACAGTTTCACCTTCAGGACCACATGGGCTCTTTAAAGGAAACACATAGTACCTACAGTTTATACACATTAAATGGTCTTGTATATGGGGTTGATTTTACAACAACATGCAATAAAACAAAGTATTTAGGAATAAATCCAAATACATCAATGTAAGATGGCAGCTATCCACCAAGTAAAAAAAGAATATAACCAATACTTAGTTTATGATTCATGTGAAAGTCTCAAGGAACATATTCCTCCAGATGAAATTAATTCCAAAATAGCAAAACAAAAGGGGAAAACTGATCTTTCTATAGGGTAATGAAAATGCAGCATATGTAAAAAGTAGAAAACTATGTAATGATTTATATCATCTGAGAGAACCCTGTGATGTTCCATTAAACTGTGTGAAGAATTATGACTTCAAGACTTGAAAATTACATTAGATCTAATATTGGACTATGGGACCTGAGTTAAGAGCACAATAATCTTAGCTATGCAGCCTTGTCTGGCCAGTAAATCATGGAACTCGTGATGTTTCTGAAGCACAGTGCACAGACATGTGACTCTATAATGCCTGTGGCCTTCCCCAGGAACAACCCAGGTGTATAAAAGGCCCTGGACAGATGGGGACACCCAGACTCAAGGATCCTACTGCTTATCATCCTCTGAATACCCCACTACTCACACCATGTGTTACTATGGCAGATACTATGGAAGCCTGGGATACGGCTATGGTGGCCTAGGCTATGGCTGTAGCTATGGTGGCTATGGTGGATATGGTAGATATGGTGGTTATGGTTATTACCGCCCCCTGTGCTATAGAAGGTACTGGTCCTGTGGCTTCTACTGAGAAGATTCTGTACCTGCTTACTCTTTCTTCACTTCAGATATACTTAAATCTTCATAAATCCCATAATTATGAATTATGAAATTCACAATTCAAACTCTCTGAGGAATAACAAATGAAATACAAACCTACATATTATTCTTCTTTAAATTGCTTGCATATGTACAGCAGCAACCTTGTCATCATAATGTTTTGTAAAATGTAGCTCTTTGAGTCTTTCCTCATTCTATGAAAATAAATGATTTTAAATAAAGTATTTTTAAAAAAACAGTTTTCTTAAAGTCTTTCTAAATGTGAATTGTGCATTTGTGTGTGTGTGTGTGTATGGTCATATATATATATATATATATTTATATATATATATATGGTTACAATTGTGTAATTGTGTAAAAATGGGAGATAAGCAAGCAAAAGAATATGAGAGAATATGGAAGAGAGAGAATGGAGGAGGAAGGAGGGAAGTAAGAAAGAGAAGGAAGAAAGAGGATGAAGCAAATAGAAGGAAAGGTTCTCTTTAAACATCCCTCTAGGTGTAGACATTTTACTACATTCATATTCCTGCTATTGTGATGCCACAATGAATTTATTAGTGCAAATATTTGTCTGAGAATGAATTCTTTTGACTGCTAGTTAAATTTTGAGAATGAAAACAAGATAATTGTCTGAATATCTTGGGTGTAGTGTTGACATTACCTTCTAGAATGACCATAACCACTCACATTTAACTGTTTACAAGGTTCCCAATGATGTGGGACAATTCCATATTCTTCCAATTATATTTTAAATAAATACTGATTGGCCAATAGCCAGGCAGGAAGTATCAGCAGGAAAACCAGACAGGAAGTAGAGGTGGAACAATGAGAACAGGAGTATTCTGGGAAGAAGGAAGCTCTTTCCCCAGTCCTGTCTCATCCACCTAAGAAGCAAGATGTGATCTGCCCCACTGGAAAGGGTACTGGGCCATGTGGCTAACATATATAAGAATAATGGATTAATATAAGTTATAAGAGCTAATACAAAGCCTGAGCTAATGGACCAATCAGTTTTATAAATTATATAGACCTTCTGTGTGATTCTTTGGGACCTAATGACTGTGGGAACCGGGTAAGACAGAAACCCCCACAAGCAAGGCCTACATGTTACATCCTTTTACTTCCCCTGTTCTCTAATACCCATTTTCTTCCTAATATCTGTTTTATTAACAACTATGTGGAAATATCTCATTGTGACTTTGACTTAGAATTTTGAAAATTCACCATTGATCATCCATTGATTTTCCTTTGGAAAATATTTATGATAATTCTCTTATTTTCATGTCATGGAACATAGTGATAGGCTGGCAATCAGTATGCCTTAGTGATCTGCCTGCTTTCTAGACCTCCAGCACTAGAGTCTAGGAATGTGAATACACCCCTCTTCCTTTTTCTATGGGTTCTGGGGATTCTAAATCACACCACCATGTTTGCACGGTAAGTATTCTTTTCCACAGCTGTGAGAGAAACTCATAAAGTTACCTGTCTACTTTCTCTGCAATGACTATATGACCATGATTTCAAAAGAAGTTCATAAATATGACCTTGGTTCACTTACAAAACCATAATGCCTTCCATTAAACTTCAAGACCTCTAGATGGGGTCTCTAAGGGAAACATACAGTAGTACCTACAGTTTATGAACACTAAATGGTCTTGTGCTTTTGAATGATCTTAAAGCAGCATGTAATAAAGCAAAGTGCTTAGGAATAAATCTGAATACATTAACAGAGGATGGCAATTACCCAGCTAAACAGGATGCAACTATGTAATAATTTAATTCGTCTGACAGAATCATGTCACGTATTCACTAATCTACAATGAAGAACGTTGTGGAGAGTTGAAAATTAAATCAGATTCCATGATTTCACTAAGGGACCCTACAGGAGCACAATTAGCTAGGTAATTCAGCACTTTATGTCCAGTAGATTATGACATTTATGATATTTTCTGAAGCACAGGGCAGAGATGTATGACAGTGCAATGCATATGGTTTTCCTCAACAACAACTACTCAGGTGTATAAAAGTCCTTGGCAGATGGTGACATCCAGAATGAAGAAACATATCGCCAGCCTTCAGGTGAGTGGTCCTCGCCTGACATGACTATGTCTTACTATGCCAGTTACTATGGAAGCCTAAGCTAAGGTGATGGCGGCCTAGACTGTGGCTATGCCTGTGGTGCCAATGATCCCTATGGTGCCTATAGTTATGGCTGCTGCTGCCCACTGTGCTGTAGATGATACTGGATTTATAGTTTCTACTGAGGAGATTCTACAGCTGCCCAGAATGTTCACTGCTATTTGCTATCTCACTAAAGTGCCTGTAAATTTTTTCACTTCAGGAACTCTTAAATAACTTCAAATATTCTAGCTTTATAACCAAATGTCTGAGGAAAATAAATGAAATTCAGCATGCCCAGCTTGTCCCCACACCTTCAGCTGGACTGTGCGAGCATTTTTGGTCTTTTCACCATCTTCAAAATGTTGTCATATGACTCTCAACTTAGGTATACAAATGTAAGAATTATCAAATAAAGATTACCCTGTGCACATTGATTTATTGTAGTTTATTAAACATAATTGGCCTCCATATGTTGGCACATTTGTATCTGTTTGGTCTCACATATGTAGTCACATAGGAGAGAAATGAGTGAAATAAAGAGGAGGGAGAGAGAAAAATAAAAGGGAGAGAGAGAGAGAGAGAGAGAGAGAACAAAGGGCTGTCACCAACAGTGGAGAAGGGTTCTCTTTTCTCTACATACTCGGTGACATTCAACTTTCTTCTTTCTATATTAGTCATTTTACAACGGAGGGCTGCCATCTCTTCTCGATCTGTATTTGCTTCTCTAAGATATTAGTGTAATAGAACACTATTGTGCCTTTCTGGCCTTTTTCTTTCAGTAACGATCTTTTCTAATTCTCTGTTCATTTTAGCAACACTTTTTTTGGCTGATTAGCATTGAGCATCTTATACATATTTTGTTTATTAATATATTACCTGATGTATTTGTTTTTTTCCCTAGTACAGTGAATTATTTGTTGTACAAAGAATCCATAGTTGGATAGATAAAAAGTTGTCTATTCATGGTTTTTCCACTTGTGTGTGTAGCATGCCCATCACCAACTAAAACATCTCCTGTCCCCTTGAAGTAGTATTTCAATGTAAATATAGTCTTATCTAAACCCAAAGTCACACTTGTGTTGGTGAAGGCTATTTGTTCCTGATCATTCAATCTGTAGTCGAAGGCTTCTCATTTGTTCCCTGACTCTCAGACCTGAAATAATCACACAGAAACTATATTATCTTCAATAATGTTTGGCCAATAGCTAGCTAGTTCTTATATTCTAAACTAACCCATTTCCATTAATCTGTGTATCACCACAAGGTCATGACATACCAGCAAAATTTCAGTGGGCTCTAGTGGAGGCATCTGTCTCTTGTGATAGCTGCATGGCTTCTTGATGCCTCACCATACTCTCTCCCTCTACATCCCTGTTTGGATTTTCTACCTGATTCTGCTCTGCTAAGCCATTGACCAAAAGCAGCTTTATTTATTAATCAATAAAAGCAACACATATACAAAAGGACCTCCCACACCATACTATGTTAGAGGAAGCCCAAATGCATGCTATGCAGTTGTATTTTTGTAATAATTAATTTTTCCAGCTCTCTGCCTCCAACCACTCTTCTGAGTCTCAAGTGTGTGGATTTACAAAATTTAATTTATTCAAGATATTAATCGTTAATATGATGAATAGTTAGCAAAGAATTCTTCCACATTTCATTACTCTGATAATGGCTGTACAGCAGGGTTTATTTGGTTTGTGTGTGTGCGTATGTGTGTGTGCATATGTATGTGTATTTCACTTTGATTTGTTTACATGCTATTCTGTATTACCATGCTGTCATGCTTAGCATTATCTTCTGTCCCATTGCAGCTATTTCCTGAAAATGCATTTTAGAGAATTTTACGTATATTTTCTGCTAAATTTCTCAAATTTTAGTACTAAAATTAACAATTTAAGTCCATTTTTAAGTTATCTTCTTGTTCCCTTCTTGTACACATAAATGTTATATTTTCTCATCTCTATTTACTCAAGAGGGATTTAATTTTTTGCAACATAGCTTTTTGATACCTATGTCAAAAAATAAGTAACCAGGGTCCTGAGGATTTCCCCCAGACTTTCTGCTTTTTTCCATTGGACCTCATACCTGCTTTAATGCTAGCAGCATTTAGTGTCATTAGCTGTGTTTCTGTAGAGTAATCTGAGATGGGCTATTACATTGCCTCCAGCATCGCTCTTTTTTTTTTAGTATTCTATTTTTTGAGTATTAGAGTGCTCTTAGTTTTCACATTCCTTTTTGTATTGTGTTGTCTACTGTTAAGAATGTAATTAAGATTTTGATAAAGGCCACACTAAATACATCTATTAATTTAGTAAATAAAATTCTTACATTATTTATTCTGACAATCTACAAGCATGGATTTCATTCAATTATTTTCTGTCTTCTTCAGCGTTTTTTTCAGTTATTTAAAGTTTTTATTACAGAGGTTATTTAACTCCTTTATTAGATTTAGGCCATGATAATTTGTAAACTATTATGAGTGAAATTGTTCTTTGTTTTTCTTTTTTGAGTTTTTTTGAAGATTTATCATTATTTTTCTTTATTAAAAACAATTTTTAAATTTAAATATTTCCATCATATACTTCCTCTCTCCCAAATCTTCCAGATTCTCTATCCAATCCAACATTAAGTTCTTTCTCAATAAAACAAATAAAAGTCTAATACAATAACAAAACTCCCCCAAACAAAGGAAACAAAATAAAACACACATTCAAAAGAACCACACACACATACACACATACACACACACACACACACACACACACACACACACACACGAAACCAAACCAAAACAAAAACCTGTAGAGTCCAGTTATACATTGGTCATCTATTGCTGAGTATAAA